TGCAGAATATTGTGATCTACTATAAATGTCCACTGGAAGTACAAGCACTCCAAACATAAAAAAATACATTGAAGTCTCTAGACCACTGAACGACCACTACCGCCATCATAATGAGCCACTGATGCACCGTTGTAGCCGCTTCCATACGGGGTCGTCTCGATCTTGTCAATGAAAAAAATGACATCTGGAAAGTCTTTGTGCACGTGTCCCTAAGGACCAGCGCCATGGAGCCTTAGTCGTCGTCGTTAAACCCTTGAATCAATCCAAAGCACATGGGCACCCTAACCGTCGCACACGCACGGCGAGAATCTCTAACATCCTCGTCCCAAGGAGACGGTACGAGTCTACGCCGGAGACCCGGCGACTCTGTCCCGATGGACGAATTCAAGGAGGATTGAAGCCCGGAAAAGAACCTAACTTAAACTACTAGTCAAAGTCAAGATACTGAGATTCTCTTCCGTGCCACCAGCCACTAGAGGGGAAGAGAAGCCACGGGCTGGTGGATCTTGGAAGAGAGTAGAAACTTAGTCGTCGGATTTATTCAAGGGTTTAACAATGGCCGCATTTTCGTGATGGAAAGGAAAATATGTCCGCGACCAACAGTTAAATCTTTAGTCTTGTTTCCTTGCAAAATAAATAAATAAATCTTTGTGAAATTAAAAAATGTACATAATCTGAAGAGCGACGCACTCATTTGTTGCCCAAAATGCCAGATACAAGCCGCCTCTCGAATCTCGATCGACCCTGCGCACATGCATGAAAGGATCCCTAGAGACCCCCACAGCGTGAGCTACAGGAGTAGGGCCAGTGCAGCAATCCAGAAATCCACCGGAGCAGAGCGGCCGACGCCGCCCCTTGTGCATAAACAAGTGCCCGCGAGGAAGGAATCCGTCGTCCCCATCGCGAATTGCCCGGTCAAGAACCCTCTAGTGGATGATGTAGTGCAATTATAGCCACCAAACGAACTTTCTTGGCTAGTTTAAATACTGCCAAGTTGCAGCAGCAGCGGCTAGCGGCATCGCGAACGCAATGATCCGTCCGGCCTGGCCGGCCCCGGGGGAATAATAATCGAGGTCGATCAGCAGGCTTGGGGCCGAAGCCTCCGCAGCTGTCACTGGCGGCAGCCTCACTGTCCGTCCTGTCGTACTGCACTGATCGGGCCACTGGCCAGGCAGCCATCCATCAGGATTAAATATCCATGCCGATTAACCAATGAAGCTTCTCACTAACTAATCTCCAGTGGCGCCTAGCTAGTACTCCCTCCTTTCCGGTTTATAGAGTTTATCTCAAAATTTTAATTTTTTTATTTTATAAGGCTCAATTTGGTTGTTCTCCATCATATGTTCAGACTTCAAGGTGCATTAAATCATTGCATGCAAGTATTAAGAGAAAACTGACCAATGCATGCACTTTATGCATGCATGCATTGCAATTAATGCATTTGTAAACATAATTTTTTAAGGAAAACAAGAGCATTAATTCAGTGTTTTGCAAACTACAAAAAATATTTCACGACTCATCATCTATCTTGGTTGATGAGATTTTTTAATTGAGTTTTATAAACCGGAAAGGATGGAGTACTCTACTAGTAAAGCCTCAGATCTCGTGTGCAGGCGGCAGCAATGGCGGAGGTTAACGGAGCTGGCCCGTCGTGGTAGAGTAGACATGTGGTGCGTCGATGGGCTCGGGTCGCCTGTCGTCGGTCGTCGGATTTCTCCGGGCTGGATCGCAGCTGTCCGTGGTGGCGACCGTCCACCGCTCGCCGGCGGCTGACGGGATACTACGATCCTCGTGTGATGATTGACGCTGGCCGGCAACAAGTAATCTAGGTGCGGTGCGGTGCGGTGCTGCCCCGCCCCACGGTGGTTAGTAGCTCGCCATCCGTACCAGCTCAAAAGCCGAAACTTTCCGCTTTTGAGGAAAGATGATCAAGCTCGCCATCTTATGCGGTTAGAGTGGATCCGTAGTGTAGCAGCTACTGATCTCAGATATAACCGACCCGAGAGTAGCAACGGTGCTAGTGAAAGCACGGCTATTTTTGGGGACGCACGGATCGGCTGCTTTACCGGCCGGCGCCCTTCGGTGGAAGTCGACGGACGGAGGCGCGCTGGCGTTTGCACGCGAAACAGCTAATCAAAGGGGCTTCCCCACGTGCCGGCGCGGGACGGACACCCCGGCGTATGGGCGTGGCCGTGGTGGCGCCCCGGACCCGGCCCTGCTTTCGTTCCGTCGTGCGCCCGGTCTTCGTGGGACAAAGTACTAACACCGCCGGCGACGTGGACAGGGGCGCAGCCAGATGATGGCAAATGGCGAACCCTGTGATGTTGCACTTCATCCGGATCAACTGGTTAATTTTAAATTTAGCGTCCGAGCGTAATCAAAACGCATAAAGTACTACTACCCTACGGGATGCTTTTCTTTTTTGAGACAATTATGCCAAGTTTTATTAGGGCATGTACAATGCATAGCCTCAGATTGATGCTTCGCATGCCTTGTAAGATCGGATGCCATGAAAAATAGGTTCAGATGAAAAAGCGGGATCCTCTGCGGAAGGCGGGTGTTTGGAGAGAAAAAATGTGGTCCGCTGTAAAAGCTAAAAAGGTTGAAGTGAAGAGTAGAGATACATGTGTACTAGAGTTTTTTTTTCTATTCTTTGATGATGTTCACTAGTGGTAACTTGCATTGGAGAGAAAAATTTAATATAAATGTCTCAAACTATTTTTTCTCATGGGGCATCCGTACCCATATGCTACAATTGTACATGCCCTTAACTCATCACAGCGCCCTGAGGTTGGTAAGCCTTTTGAATTTCTCTTTCAACTTGGTCAAGTTCATAGGCTCCTAGCTTAGCATCTGAATAGCTCAATCAAATAACACTTTTGCTTTCATGCCTTACAACAAAAATGGAAACATTTTTAAGTCACTTTTATATAGCCTACAAACCAAGCTTGCACTAACATGATTGATAAGAAAAAAACTTGTACTAACATCTAACTTGTCACTAAGGAGGTGTTTGGTTAGAGAGTGGTAATGTAAACGGTAAGGGAATTACATTACGCTTGTAACGGGAACGTAATGGGCATATCTCGATTCGGTTTGGTTGATGACTGTAAAGGAAGCTACTTCGTCGTGAGGATTTATTCCTTTGTTAACCGTAGCATTTTGTACATTGTTAAGCATTGTAGTAATGAAGCAGGCCCGGGGTCCGGTGCTAGCCTAGCTCCACCCCTGGATGGCTCGTGAATTTGGTTAGGCCTTTAAAAGTTATCCTCACTTTCATGATAAATCTCGTACTATGCCCTCTTAGTTCTACAAAAGTGGACACCAATAATGTCTTCTTTTTCCCCACAATATTTTCTATGGTATAGTATATGTTTTTGTGATTTTAATTATTTTATTGAGCATATTTGGATAATAGAGGCAAGCTTTATAAGTTGCATTATGTACTTTCATCGACTTGATGCACCCTCGAGTGCTAGCGTGAAGCGTGTAAGCTTTTTCAGAGGTTGTGATCTTGTATTTGTGGATCTTTCGGCGCTAACGACTTCGATGGTTTCTTCTTTTGAAAGTTAGTTCGGCGGGACCATGGCCTTGATGACTTCCCAACTGTGATAAAACCCACTGGCTGGATTCGGCGATGGAGGCAGCGGCGGTTGTCTGTCATCGACTCACTTTCTGAACATGAAACTGTCATGGTACAACATAGAGAACTGTCATAATACAAGCGAGTTGGTATTTGTAAAAGTCTAACAAAAACACACACAAAATGCCATGCTATAGCTGATATACTTGACATGTAAAAAAATAGAATTTGTCGTGTTCTAGATAGCCACTTGTTTAGGATTCAATTGGACAAAAACACAAGAAGTTGCCATCTGAAAATATGGGTCCGAGGGGAGATAGTAAAGTGAATATGCCAAGAGGATGCATGCTATGTAGTACAAAGACTAGAATCGGAGCCGTTCGCTCCTTGAGGGATCTGGAGCGAACAATTACATCATCGGCGAGGTGGCGTTGTGTTCGCGCCAGAACGTACATACTAGAGAGCGAACCTTTTCTTATTATCATTTTTTTAAAGTATGCTTGTATTCAAATCATGACATAATACAAAGTTCTTAACCTTAACAAGCACACCCTAGCACACGCATAAACAACCAGAATAACAAAGAGCACTTTAAAACAACCAACAAAATATGAAGACCTCCGGAGCTCTATGTCATCATTCATGAATCTTACGAGGAGACTCCTACAACACAGTAATCTGCATCCAGACCCTAGCAGGTCCTCATCTTTAACCACAGCATAATCATCACCATGCTGTTCCCCCACTTCTTTGCTCCGGCGCCGAAAAAATAAGGACACACATGTTCATCCAACACGCCTGCATCAGTCTTCGCCATCTGTGGCTTTGAGTACCGCTATATTGCCCCTTCCAGATCGAAAGAACTATGATCATTTTGTATTTTCTTTAAGAGGTGCGTGTTGCTGGTTTGGTTAATAGATCCTCATGCGAACATGTTTCTAAAAAAGAAAATAGGGAAAGATGTCTCATGAAAATGGCAGTATCCACTTTCAAGAAAAACAAAATGGTAGCATCCGATTCCTTTGTCGGTCGTATCCATTCATTTTTAGTTTTAGTTTTATGCATGCGCAGCAGTTATCCTGGCTCGTCGACCCGTTTCCATTCGTGAGCGGCATTTACTCCCTGTAGTACCATCGGTAACTGAAAAGAGCAGAGCCGGTTCACGTGCATCACGTCCACGGAGCACCGGCTCACGTAAAAGGCAACCGCTCCCCGTCGCTGCGCCCGCAAACTACCCCATCTCCTCCGCTTCTGCCCCTCCCTCCTCTGCCCCCGCCCCCTTTTATCTCCCGATCTCACACATTTTGGCAAGACAAGGGAGAGAGAAGCAGAGGAGGCCGTTCTTTACGCCTTCCTGGGAAAAGAGCCGGGAGGAGGAGGAGGAGAAGGCGAGCAAGACGGAGGAAAGCGAGACGAGATGAGGGAGATCATCAGCATCCACATCGGCCAGGCCGGGATCCAGGTCGGCAACGCCTGCTGGGAGCTCTACTGCCTCGAGCACGGCATCCAGCAGGATGGCACCATGCCCAGGTACGTGATCCCGATCCCTGAATGCATCTCGTAATCTTGTGTTTTGCCTTTTTTTGCCTCTTTTTTACCCGTAAATCCTATGAATTGCGAATGGGGATTGCGGTAGTCCCGGTGGAAAATTCCTTTTCTGAATCATCACCGTGTTCCGTTGGTCTGTACTTCCCGTTTGGACATTGCGATGGGATTATGGGGCAGGAATATTTTTTCGTGTTGCTGGTTGTCGAGAGATCGGCAAGAAGAGGACGAGACAATCGACGTTTCGGATCACAAGTTCTCCCGAGTCTTCCGTACTCTTTTACTTCATGCATTTGTTCCGTTTCTGTCCGAAGGAGGCTGTCGCCCACCCTCCCTAAGAATGTTCTGTTTCTGTTAACTACTAGACCGGACAGGCGTCGTGTTCTTTGTAGACTGTACTGAAGTTGGTATGCACGTACCATGAGACAGTTGCGAGTTCCTATCCCGCGGGATCTGAAAATTTGGCAATGGTACGATGCTTAATTACGTAGTATTTTTGGAAACGTGGTGCTTCATAAATATTGTAACAGTGGAGCTATGAGTGCCGGACTGACCACGGATTGAAGAGTTTAATCTGACTAAGCGACTAATAAAGGCGTCCTCCTGGAGGATTTGTTTTGTTGATTTGGTCTAATCCTTATTCCAGAACCATTCATAAATACGAAGACTCTTGCCATGCCTGTATTGTCTCAGAATAAGTCTTGATTGGAACCTGGCTGTAGAGAAGTTAGTTCACAGATCGGTGACTAGAGCTCTTCCAATCCATGTATTAACGCTGCGTTTTGGTTGATGATTCAGTGATACCACGGTCGGGGTTGCACACGATGCGTTCAACACGTTCTTCAGTGAGACCGGTGCGGGCAAGCATGTGCCGAGGGCCATCTTTGTCGACCTTGAGCCCACTGTCATCGATGAGGTGCGCACCGGTGCGTACCGCCAGCTCTTCCACCCGGAGCAGCTCATCTCTGGCAAGGAGGATGCCGCTAACAACTTCGCCCGTGGCCACTACACTGGTAATTCATCTTGCATTTATGTGATTGTTATTGAAATTCTAGTCTACTGCGATTATGAATGCATCCAGTTCTGATTGTGCTTGTGTAATGCAGTTGGAAAGGAGATTGTAGATCTATGTCTGGATCGTGTACGCAAATTGGCAGACAATTGCACCGGGCTGCAGGGATTCTTGGTGTTCAATGCTGTCGGTGGTGGAACTGGATCAGGACTGGGCTCTCTGTTGTTGGAGCGCCTCTCGGTTGATTATGGCAAGAAATCTAAGCTTGGTTTCACCATTTACCCTTCCCCGCAGGTATAACTTGTTCATATACATTGTCCTGTTAATGTGTTTGTTATTTCAGAAAAATTGAGTGTATTATTTAGTCTGCTTTAATTTGTATTCTGAGAGAGGATGTTGTCTTTAAGCTAGCTCTTCCATCATTTTTAGATATTTTCAATAGAATATCTGAAAAGCTAAAATGCTAATGCTGGCGTAGAGTTAGTTTACTTTTAGAGCCCTGATTATAGATGGTATCTGTAAAGCAATGCACTACTTATGAGCCAACATTATTCCATAGCACTGTACCTACCTGTCCATGTGACTGGACTGTGGACCATTCAGGCTGTTCATGTGAGTAGGTTATCTGCATCTTAGCTGTTGTGGGGACAGTATAGGCAGATATGTTGTTAGTACGTTATTTTCAGTTCACCTTATCATTATCCATTTATCTTATGCCACTCTGTATTTCAGGTCTCGACAGCTGTTGTGGAACCATACAACAGTGTCCTCTCCACTCACTCTTTGCTTGAGCACACCGACGTTGCGGTCCTCCTAGATAACGAGGCTATCTATGACATATGCCGGAGGTCTCTTGACATCGAGAGGCCAACCTACACCAACTTGAACAGGCTGATATCACAGATCATATCCTCACTTACCACCTCGCTGAGGTTCGATGGTGCCATCAATGTGGATGTCACAGAGTTCCAGACCAACCTCGTCCCTTACCCACGTATCCATTTCATGCTTTCGTCGTATGCCCCTGTTATCTCTGCCGAGAAGGCTTACCATGAGCAGCTCTCTGTGCCTGAAATCACCAATGCTGTCTTTGAGCCCTCAAGCATGATGGCCAAGTGTGACCCTAGGCATGGCAAATATATGGCCTGCTGCTTGATGTACCGTGGTGATGTTGTTCCCAAGGACGTCAATGCCGCAGTCGCAACCATCAAAACCAAGAGAACTGTCCAGTTCGTCGACTGGTAAGCTGTCTTTATCGCGTTACTAGTTGCACTTGTATTATTTATCTCGAGCAACTATCCACTTAAAAAGATGACACTTGATTGTCTAACTAACATATTTATGCTGCCATCACAAAGGTGCCCTACCGGGTTCAAGTGTGGCATCAACTACCAGCCACCCTCCGTTGTCCCCGGCGGCGACCTGGCAAAGGTTCAGCGGGCCGTGTGCATGATCAGCAACAACACTGCCGTTGCCGAAGTGTTCTCGCGCATCGACCACAAGTTCGACTTGATGTACGCCAAGCGCGCGTTCGTGCACTGGTACGTCGGCGAGGGCATGGAGGAAGGTGAGTTCTCGGAGGCCCGTGAGGACTTGGCCGCTCTCGAGAAGGACTACGAGGAGGTTGGCGCCGAAGGCGCAGACGATGAGGGCGACGAGGGGGATGACTACTAAGTAGCTGGTTAATAAGTAGTTGGCTGGTTAATGATTGGCTTTGATCTGTATACTCAGTAAGTATGGTTCCATTGCGTTACATATTGATTGCTGTTATGCGTGTTTCCTTTTCTTGTAATGTACTGAAGTTGTTGTTAGGGTGGCCATGATTGTTGATACCCCATTTCCTCATTTTGGCTTTCGATGCTACTCGTCCCATGTTTGGTGTGTGTGCATCATTCTGAGCCGAACTGCAAATATTGTTCTCTAATGCACTGTGCCATGTTAGTACTGTACTACGGAAGTTTCTATTTATTGACTTATCTGCTGAGTATGCTCCTTGTATATCTGAACCACTGAAATGTGGAAACCCTGAAAATGGTTGCCATCTGTACACACGACAGAATCGAACGACCTGATGCCAGTGCGGTTGGTAAGTTTGGTAGACTGGTGACGCTTGAGGCTTTGGGAATCTCAGGTCTGGTCCCGGTTCCAAGATCGCTGATAAAAGATTTCCCAAGTGTTCTGCGAGGGAGGCACCAACCGTGCCACTAGCCAACTTCTGAAGACGGCGTATCTTTTAGTTGCCGACGATTCCCTCTTCTTTCTTTGAAAACGCGGTCATATATTAATCCTTACAAAGGCATTAAAAAAAGTTACAATCAATTCTTTGGCAATGCTGACGGTGTTACAGCCCAGGGGTGCCTCACCTTACCGGAAGTCTGCATGGGCCCGCTAGGTTGGTTATATCATCGGTCAATCAGCTCGGTCCATGACCCTACAACGTGATGGGAGGTTTGGACTAGAGACAGGGCAACTGCCACCTTCATCTACAATGTGGCTAAGAATTCGAGCAACTAAGGTAAGCCAAGTGTGGTAAATTATGGCAAAACCAGTGACAAAACCAAACATACTCTAAAATAGTTTGTAATTTTTCAGACCTTTGATAAGTAATTTTTTTATTCCTCTGTTATTTAGATGTATTTTCCTTCCTCCTAGCAGAGACAAAGTTGTGGAAACAAAAATGTGCAGTGACTGCCCTAATTTGCTTTGCCTCTTAGGACCCGTAAATGTCTGCTTGTTCTAACAAATTTCTAGTCAACAATCGTCACACTCACACAATACTAGTACGGAAAACAAACAGGAGCACCCACATCGTCCCTCACCATTGATCTGTGTCATGCTACCCGACTTGGATGCTTTCGCTTCAATCAAGCTGAAGTTGCTAAGACGCTAATTGGTTTGATGCCAACATTTGACATTGTCAATATTTCGTAAGCTAACAATTGGCGAAAAGCAAAGTTTCTATAATTTGCTAACCTTTTGAGAGCTTGATAAGAAAAGTTGGCAACAAGCCAACATGAGCACTTCAGTTGAGCTCAGCTTGGATGCTTTCGCTTCAGCCCGTCGAAGTTGCTAAGAGCCTCATTTGCTTGATGCCAACATTTGGCATTGTCAATATATTGTAAGCCAACAATTGGCAAAAACGAAGTTGCTAAAATTTGATAAATTTTTGTGAGCTTGTTAAGAAAAGTTGGAAACAAACCAACCACTAGCTAATACTTCGCATTTGCCAATTTTTCGTATTAAATCAATCATGCTCTAACGCAAGTCGGGAGGGTGATAGAAAATCACATCGCTCACGTCACTCCACTTGGTGGCCCGGCCCACCTAAGTTGTACGCTCCTGTAGCAAAGTCTCCCAGCTTCTTTTATATTTTTTAATTCACGTTTTATTTGAGGTGGTTTATTTAATTTAAAAATCATGAATTTTAAAAAATATCAATAATTTGAAAAAATGTTCATGTGTTTGAAAATATTCATAAATATAAAAAACATGCGCAAATTAGGGCAATTTTTAAAAGATATTCATGAATTTTAAGATCATCAAGAATTTGGAAAATTTCACAGATTTGAAAAAAATATTCACGAATTGTAAAAACTATTTAAAAAGTGTTCCTTCAAGCACGACAACTGGTCAGGAAAGGGGGCCCTACGGCACCTGTGCCCTGGTCTATTTGCCATTACAACGAGGAAAAATAGGTCGGTGCACGATGAGCTCCGTGAGGAGGCCTGGATCCGTGATGTCGCCAAAATGAATACACTGGCCCAACTACATGAATTCATCAAGCTAGCTTTGACCGTCACCTTGACCTCCCTCGACCCTAACACTCTAGACGCCATCTCCTGGAACTGGAATCCCAACGACGAATATTCGGCTAGCTCAACATATGGGGAGCAATTCCTCGGATCGTATCCGAGATTCTTCAGCGACAAAATCTGAAAGGCGCATGCAGTGCTAAAGTGCAAGCTTTTCTCCTGGCTGGTCCTCCACAATCGGATCCTTACAGCTGACCGACTCGCCTTGCGAGGCTGGCCACATAACCTCCTCTGCCAACTATGCCTCCACACCAACGAGAATGCATAACATCCTTGGAAGACCTGCCCGTTCACTTCCGCAGTCCGCACCCTTGTCCTGAATTGGGTAGGGGAGCCACTTACGTTTGCTCCAGTTGCCGCTTCCCCCTCAATCGATGCCTGGTGGGATGCTACCCTCAAAAACTCCGACAACAATTTGAGAATACGACGAATTGGAATGCATGGAAGGAGAGGAATCGGCGAATCTTCAAAGGCACAAGATTGACTTGCATCGAGGTTGCGCACCTAACCTTCGAGAAGATCATGCAGCGCGATCTGGCCTTCCGGCCAAGAGCGGCCCAAATCCATGAGTAGTTAGCATGCAACACTTACTATGATCCTTCGGATCTTGGGGTTTCTGGCATGTCCCCTTTCAAAACATGCCACACTGTACATAATTCCCTTTACTAAATGAAAAGGCAGTGCTCCTGCCAGTTCCCCCCAAAAAAGTGTTCAACTGATTTAAAATTCTTTGTAAATTTGATAAATGTTCATGCATTATAAAAATGATAGAGTTATTTTCCTACAATGTTTCAAAACATTCACTATTTTAAAAAAATATTCAATAGTTTGAAAAAATATTCCCAAATTTTAATGATTTTGAACATAAGAATTTAAGAAAATAAAAAAGATAGAATAAAAACGAAAAAATATTTTAAAAAAATACTCAGAAGAAACGAAAAAAAATGGAAACCAGAGAAAAAAAAGCGGGCCATAAGCTTCCTAATACCGGGTTCGCGATTACAGTTCCCGAGAAGGCTATATCTCGCACGATGCGCGAAATAGCGCCGCATCGCTAGTGGAGCTGCACTAAACGGGCCAGCCCAATACTGTAGCTCCCTGGAGCGGTTTTGGGAAAGTTCTATGGACAAGTTTAAAAACCCGAAATCACTAATTAAGGAGTACTCGTTGCAAAGAACACTTAACTTTCCTAGGTCGCAACAAGTGGCGCACATGCAGCCCGCCACTTGTCGCAACCTGAGGATTTTCCTTTTTTTTCATAGATCCGTTTATTCAAAACGTTTTATGTTTTAAATCGTGCGTCCAAATCTCGAACCATTTACATCATTAGATTCCTCGCGTCGAGATCTTCAAACTAGATCCTATGTTGATAGGTTTTGACGAACTTTTTTTTCACAAAAAAACCGGGCGAAAAACCGAATCAGGAGTACGGTTTTTTTCCCTTCCCGAAAGAGGCACGCCCGTGCCTCTCGCGAAATCACACCCGTGCCTCTCATGGAAGCAAAACCGTGACTCTCGTGGAAGGAAAAAAACAGAAAATGCATTTTTTCCCGTTTCCGAGAGGCACGGCCGTGACTCTCGCGAAAGCACAACCGTGCCTCTCGCAGAAGCAAAACCGTGACTCTCGCGAAAGAAAAAAACAAAAAACGCGTATTTTTTCCCTTTCTGAAAGGCACGACCGTGACTCTCGCGAAAGCACAATCGTGCATCTCGCGGAAGCAAAATCATGACTCTCGAGAAAGAAAAAAAAGAAAACGGGTTTTGTTTTTCCCTTTCCGAGAGGCACGGCCATGACTCTCGCAAAAGCACAACTGTGCCTCTCGCGGAAGCAAAATTGTGACTCTCGCGAAAGAAAAAAACACGTTTTTTTCCGTTTCTGAAAGGCACGGACGTGACTCTCGCTAAAGCACAACCGTGCCTCTCGCGGGAAAAACATGACTTTCGTGAAAAAATGCGTTTTTTCTAAGGAAGACTGGGGAAAACCAAAACATCGAAAAAAACCGAAAAAAACTGTTTAAAAAGCCGAAAACGCGTGTGGAAAAATAAAATAAAAAACAAAATCCGGAGGGAACGTCCAGTGCGCGACACGTGGCGAATGGCTGAGAGCGTGCCAAGTGGCGCTGATCGTTGCGGGGCTCTCGAAGGAGCGCGGGTTAACTAGTTGCTCCCTTAAAAACCTTCCATATGTTTTTTCCTACTTCGTTTGTTCACATGTATTTTTATCAGTTTATTGGCTTTTTGTTTGTATTTTGTATTTTTATTTTTTCAAATACATTTTGACTTTATTCAATACAAGTTGTAAAATTTTCCAATTCTCATTAAAAAAATTATACAAGTTGAACATTTTGAAATAAATGATGAACATTTTATCAACTATGTTTTTAAGAATTTTTACGAATAAGCACTAAATATTCTGAAATACACGTCGAACATCTCTTTTGAATGGTATGAGACTATTATTGTATATTATGTTAATATTTAATACATCATATTAACACCTTTTGAAATGTTGCAAATATATTCCAAAACTATGAACATTTTTTAACTATCAACTATATTATTTTTATTGGCACGGAATGTTTTTTTAAATTTACACGAACATTTTGCTTAAATTATATAAAGATTTTTTAAATGTCACAAACATTTATTTTCAAAACATGTGAATATTATTTTAATGTCACGACCACATTTTTGAATGGTGTGAAACATTTTTAAAATCTCCCCCAAAAGATCACATTATATAATTGTTTTATAAAATACCACAAAACATGGTTTTAAATGCAGGAAGATATTTAAATGCCATGATTTTTTTGAATGGTGCGAACATTTTTCTAATTACATGAATAAAAGATTACACTTCAC